GAAGGCAGCATCATCTCTGCTCACGCCCCAGGAGGACAAATCGTGCATGAAGAGCATCCAGGAGTCATCGCTCACGCTGCCCCTGTATATGGTCATATTTCTCCCGTAGTCGCTCACTCTGTCCCCGTTGTTGCACATGCTGCTCCTGCTACCGTTATCGCACACTCTTCAGCTTATGGACATGAAGGAGTTCTGGTTGCTGGACCTTCTGGACAGATCTCAACTGGATACGCTGCTCATGCAGTTCCAGCTTCAGTGCATGCCTATGGAGCTGTTGGTTATGGACATGAAGGCCAATACGTGTCCGATCATCTTGAATCTCTTTACGATGACGGTTCTTACAAACCTCATGTCTATCATCATTAGAACTTTATTTTAAAAATAAACTTGCTCTGGAGGCTACTGTATAAAGATTGATATTACAGGGCAGTTTAGGACAGATTGAAATATTTTGTTAAAATGTTCTGAAACTCATTTTGTGATATCCGCATTTAGCGTTTAAATAACACCTTTTGTAAAGTTATATAAAAATAAAAATATTGCGATTTTTGAAACATTATTATGTTTGTTTTTCGTACCTACCGAAAGTGCTTAGAACGCTACGAAAGTATAAGCTGTGAAAGCTTGAAAGAGTGATAAATAAATGCAGCTCAATTACTCAATAAACGCAATGATTAATTGATAAATAGTTGAATATGATGTTGCTAAATGCCTTTCTATCTAACTTCTCTTTTCCTCTAAACTTGTGCCTTAGAACTAACTTTTTTAATCTATTACTGAAACAATTCACCGTTAATACCTCAGTTAATAGAATCCTCTAGATAGCTCTAAATGCTACTCGAAACAGCGTAGTTCACAAAATGAAAACGCATTGTTTAGTACCAATGAACCATGGGTAAAAAGCGAACTATTCAACAAAGATTTTCATGGAAAATGCACTATTTCGAAGTTCATTGGAGTTTACGAGTATTTATTAGTTATTTAAGACTGATCACCTTAAATAAACAGCGCAAATGGCGAAACCATATAACCTTGTTATATGGAATTTTCAATAATTCTGTTCACTTTTATGTTCCGTTAACGATCATTAAATATTACCTCCAGTTCTTGCATTTTGATCAGTTTAATGCATTTATTTTGAAGAAGGTCCTCTGCTGCAAAACCAAGTATGACTCCTATTACTGTTATATAAAAAATCAACTTATTCCGAGTATGCATATTGTTAGTATTTCCGAAAAGTGAGTAGTCAATACACCCTTATTAAACTGTTTAAACTACTGTAGCTCCGAAAGACTATTTCACTTACTTCAAACCGA